CCCCAAAACCCCAAAACCCCAAAACCCCAAAACCCCAAAACCCCAAAACCCCATAATCCTGCCTATTATTGTAAAGAAAATAATATTTAAAATAATATGTCCAAGGCCTCAGAGTCCGTGAAGGTTATGGTCAGGGTTCGTCCTCTCAATAAGAAGGAAAAGAACCGAGGAAGTAAGGAAGTGGTGGAGGTTGACTCCAAATTTAATCAAATTAATCTGAGCAAGCCAGATTCACCTGAAATTTCCAAAGACTTCGCATATGATGCTGTCTTCGGAATTGATTCTACCCAGCAATTAGTGTATAATGAAGGTGCATTCTCACTTGTTGAGTCTGTTCTCGAGGGGTATAATGGCACAATCTTTGCTTATGGCCAAACAGGTTGTGGCAAGACCCATACAATGGTTGGAGACTATGGCGAGGAGGATTCTAAAGGTATTATTCCTAAAGCTTTCAGCCATATTTTCGGTTATATTGATTCCAGAGAAGATGATACAAAATTTTTAGTTAGATGCTCCTATTTGGAGATCTATAATGAGAGCATCCTCGATCTCCTTGGAAGTGATCATACTGCCAAACATGATGTAAAGGAAGACCCTGATAAAGGAATTTATGTACAAAACCTGACGAACGTTATAGTTAAATCAGTCCCTGAGATAGAAAAAATTATGAATGCAGGAAATAAGCACAGGAAGGTTGGGCAAACAGCAATGAATGATCAATCTTCCAGATCACATTCTATTTTTACTATTTATATTGAAACATCGGTTGAGAAAGACGGAGATCAGAAGATTAGAGCTGGAAAACTGAACCTAGTTGATTTGGCTGGTTCAGAAAGGCAAAGTAAAACTAATGCAAAAGGTGACAGGCTTAAAGAAGCCCAGAAGATCAATCTCTCACTCTCCGCCTTAGGAAACGTAATCAGTGCTCTTGTAGATGGAAAATCAAAGCATATTCCATATAGAGACTCTAAGCTAACAAGACTGTTACAGGATTCACTTGGAGGAAATACCAAAACTGTGATGATAGCAGCTGTTTCCCCAGCTGATTATAACTATGATGAGACCTTATCAACCTTGAGATATGCTTCTCGTGCAAAAATGATCAAGAACAAGCCAAAGATCAACGAAGATCCCAAAGATGCCCTTCTAAGAGAATACGAGAGTGAAATCAAGCAGCTCAGAGCAGCTTTGGCAGAGCTCCAAAAAGGAGGGGGAGGTACTAACCAGGCTGCTTTAATCAGCAAATTGACAAAATCCTTCAAGAGGTCTGAAAAGAACGTTGATATGGGATCGAATGTTGATGACATCCTAAACCGGTTAGAATCCAATCAACAAACACTTGGAGATTCCACTAAATAAAAACTCTGATAAAATCAGAGAGATTCAGATGATGGGTGACAAAAACATCGACAGTGTTCTACAAGAAAAAGATAATAAAATCGAACAAGAGAAAATGCAAAGGGAAAAACTAGAACAAATGGTCAAGGAAATGGAAGGCAAACTTGTCCACGGAGGAGAAGCTATCGAAGAAGAAAAGGCTAAGATTGAAGCAAAAGCTTTCAGAGAGTATCAACTCAAGTTAAAATAAGCAAAAGAAAAAGTCTAAGAAGCTGCTTGAAGAACAGAAGAAGAGGGAAGAAGATATGCTCCTCATGGAGAGAGATTATAACGACTTACAAGAAGAGGTTGGTGACAAGAGTAAGCTCCTCAACAAGCTCAGAAAGAGGTACAAGGCAGCCCTAGCAGAGATCCAGGACCTTGAAGGTGAGCACTATAATGAAAAAGCAGATCTCCTTGACACAATACGAACCATGGAAGTAGACCTCGGATTCTATAAAGCAATCGTAGATATGATGATCAATGAAAATAATTTGTACAAGATCAAATCTAAAAGTTCGTATAATGACGAGAAATCGGAGTGGGAGGTCCCTCCATTCGTGATGAAAGATAAGCAAATGAACCTTCCCAAGTTAGGGCTACAAAAAGCTATGAGATATGTAGAGGAGGAAAAGAACAACCAAATGGTAGAATTCAAAAATAATGGAACTGATTACTCTGACGATGACTTTAATGAAGCTGCTCATCAGAGTCAGATGAAAATTCGTAAGAAAAAGAAGAAAAATAAAGGCCTACGAGGTAAGAGCCAAGCTCCTCCAAAGGATCAGAGCTACAATGGCAGATTAAATACAGAGAATGTTGATGATACCCTAAATGAGGACAGAGATGATGAATATGACCAGTTCAGAGACCCTAACGGACTTCACGATTATAATGATCTATATAATGATAATAATGGGTATTCTGATATGAATGAAATGTCTAATGCAAAACTGAAAAAGAGTGCCTTTAATAATGGTACAGGAAAAATCAATGATTACAATGCCTACGGCAAGAATATTAATTCTGAGCCAAAACTCCCACCTTCTTTGAAATGGGCCTTAGACGATGATAGTAGAATTGACGAGGATAGTCTTTACTATCATCGGAACCAAAAAGCCAATGTTCATCTAGCTCCTCTCGGCTCTAAAGTTGGGCAGAATGTTGGAAAGCTGAACGGAAATCGTATTACTGGCAGTACAATGGCAACTTCAAACACAATTTATGGGAGCGGGGATTCCACAATAATAGATAAGATTCCGTCTGTGAAGAAGTTATCATCCCAGAAAACACGGAGGTTGCAACCTTTGAGAAGATAAGAAAGAAATTAATAAACTTGGACTAATAATTTTCAATTTCCAATTAGCAAACCGGGGTTTTGGGGTTTTGGGGTTTTGGGGTTTTGGGGTTTTGGGGTTTTGGGGTTTTGGGG